AGAGTTACAGCTAGGCACAATGCAGTGTTACAAAACATTCCTTCCCTCACTCACCAATAGATTTAATGTGCACTTGTTTCCTCTGAAAAACATTAAATAATGCTTACTAAGTGTTATTCAGTGTTAAAACTGTGACAGAAACCTGTTGAATCCCGTATTACTGTAGTTACAAATACTATATACAGTCACAGTGGTTCATGTGAAGTGCCTCAATGATGACTTGACTAGGCGCTATATCAAATGCAAAGGTTATTATGATATCAATGAAAGGGTTCAAAATACCTCACCAACTTGGGAAAATGACAAACAAGATAGAAAAATGCCATTCGGCCCATCAAACCTGCTCCTTCCATCCACTAACCAAACCAGTGCTAGAGCGGACTCCATCTCATTCTGTTTCCTGAGATAAGTATTGTGTAGATAATACTCCCCAAAGGAAATTCAAGCTAAAGCTCCAGAATATTTATCCATCTCCACATCTCCAAACTTCAACTCTGGCCCTAGCTTGCTTCCTCTCACTAAAAGTGTTCCTGTGTCCCCAGTAGAACAGAATTCATCATGTTCAATGGAGTGTTTGCTCCCCAGACAACACGCTCCTTTTCCAACAGACACCAGGGCCTTGTGTGCCATGCACTATTTCTTCGTCTTAGTCTGACCTATCCCGGTAATCTCAGTACTGTCAGATCAGTTAGTAGCATTCTTGCCTCTGAGTCAGAAGGTTGTGGGTTCCAGCACCAAGTCAGGGCTTGAGTTCCTCATCTAGACTCACACTCCACTGCACTCCATTGTTGGAAGTGCTGTCTGTACTCCGGAAAACTATATTGCTTGATGTGTTGTACCTTTGGTGAGAAGTTAGAACATAAGATTTTTCTTTTGAAACCAGAGTTCTGTCTGCCTGTTTTCAGACCTTCCTTTTTGATCGCGCATTACCGTCACATCCCTTCACCCTCTCCCCCTGGCTCAAAGTCAGACTGTGCTGTGGGGGGGGGGCTTGACAGTGCTGCATCAAGTTGTTTTATATTTACAATATGTCCTGGCTTCCCCATTCACATCATGGCTGTTTGGAGAATATACGACAAGAACACTTGTGAAACTTCCTGTGAAGGGAACCAACCTCCTCTCAGGCACCTGTATGTCTGACTGGAGAGGTACTCTCTATGACAGCAGACTACACCCCCACCCACCCGCCATTTATTTACAAGCTGCTTTGTTCTGAATCCCACAAAATATTCTCTCTTGAAGAATGGGCTCCCAAGGCTGCGGTCAGTCTCGCCCGCTACTATCACAAAAACTAGATGATATCTTCACAAAGTAGAACAAGAAACCAACTGTTTCCGTTGTTAGAAAACAGCGAACAATTAATGAGCGAGTTCTTACTGCAAGAACAGTGTTAAACCTCCACTCCTGCAACAGGGGAAGGAGCAGCTCCAACAGCCGTAGGGAAGACGATCATAAATAGGTGGAAAAAAGACAGTCAACAAACATGTGTTTAATGGCCTGCATCCATAGCCATACTCCCCAAAGCTAAATTCGGCTAATCCCTGTATTGTGCAGGATGCTGAATGAGGAAAAGTATCTGTACTCTTTCGATCTGCTGATCCTTATGCCCCCGCTACATTTTAAAAATAAATGCAAGTCCAAGGGTACAAACAAAAACAAATGTTGACTGCCGTTTCTGATCTTATAAGATTATATAATGCTTCCATGTTTACCAAAACAACCTGTGTGTGCAGCATTCAGGCGCTTTAACACACTTGAGTTGGTTGTTTACTGCTATTTATGTAATCTACTTACAGAGACTGCCATCATCAGTCAAAACAGTAGCAGGGGCCTGAGTTCTCCAGAGTACTTTGAGAATACAATAACTGCCTGTATGTCAGCTTTACTGATCTGCTTGTCCACGTGAATATTATCCCATTAAAACAAACCCATTCCAGCATATATAAAATAATAATCCTTGCATTCGATATAGCGCTTTTCACGTCTTCTGGACGTCTCAAAGAGCTTCACAGAATGTACTGTAAAGTGAATTAACTGTATATTTGTGAGAGAAACGCGGCAGCCAATTGTGCATAGGAGTGTCCTAGAGAAAGTCGGGGAGTGAAGTGACCAATTTATTAGTTGTTTTCCTTGAGGGATTATTATTTTTTATATTACTAGAAAAAGGCTTGGAAGTGTTTATAATACTGAAGAGACACCACAACCCTCTCATGTTATACCCTGTACTCTGCTTCAGTCACTGATGACATTCTATTCTTGGAAGAGAGTTTTGTTTTAAAGAAGTTATCAATTATTGATTTAGATACAAGAGAAGGGTTATCTACTGAAGTGTATCATGGGCCTCTCGTCAGCAGGATATGTGGTTAGTAATTCTCTACCGCTGACGTGAATACAGATTTAAACACAATTGTAAACAGAATCCTTTGATCATCAGTCAGGAATTTTACCGATCTTGGTGGAAAAATGCATGATAAACTGCCATATACAACAACAAGATTACATTTGTACAGCGCAGTCTCAAGGCGCTGGACAGAGTACAGCATTTCAGACCCAAACTGGGATCGGGTGGGGGGGAGGGGGAAGGGAGGGGAGGTATATACAGTCACTACACCAACCTGTGCAGATCACCTGTACCAGTCACACCATCCACTTGTGGCCCGTGAGGGACTTGCCTAACTAGCCTCTCAAGATAACTAGTTGCTGAGCCCTTTTCTCTGGAAATGACAAGTTATCAATTTACAAAATCTTAAAAGGTTTCCTCCCAAAAGCTAATATGAATTCTGCCCCGATTCAAACTCAGAGCCTTTTAATCCCACTTCAACCATGTTTCAAACCCAAAAAAGTTTTCAGGATCCTGTAAAAAGTTTTATTGATATGTGCCAACCAAAGCACAGCTTCAAACAGTACTGAAGAACCCAGCTGTAGGTGTGGAGAGCCCCTGAATCCCACACATTTCCACTTTGAAGAGAATAACAAAGGGATCACGCAGAGGACTGCATAGAATCTTACATGGACTTGTGTCAGATTAAAGCAGTTTTACTGCACATTCAGAGACCGTCACAGAAAAGGCAAAACTTGCAAACCCTGCTCATAGATATAAACTTCACTGGAAGATAGGTAAACCTACAAATAAGCTATAGATGTCAATAGGCCTGATCATCTGTCTAGTACACCTTCCCCTTTAATTGCAGATGATGCAAGTACACAAGGGCTGAATCAGATCTCTTCTATGAGCAGATCACTCACACGTCCATTAGTTTGGAGGCAGATAGAGACACCTGCTGTGGCAAGATACTTCAAGACCTTTCTGGTGAATTGCTCTTTCTGAAGAAAAATAATGTCCAGTCTCCAAAGCAGCAAGTATGATGAAGTGGTTGGGTTTCTGGGAGAATATGTTGGCTGTTTCTACTCTACCTCAGAGCTTTTTAAGAGGTAACAGATTTTAGGTTTAAAGGCTTTGTTGTTGGAGATCACATTTGAAAGGTTTCCCACAGCACCGTCTGCTCTGCAGCTCTGCCATTCAGTCTGGTTAGAGAACCAGAGCCAAGCTTCATCTCTTGACAGCATCGCTTGCAGTTCAATTCTCTGTGGAATATTAGCTGGAGCGAGGATTGTGGAAAGCACTCAAACAGGTTCATCAAAAGCTCTGACACTCAACAACAAATAACAATAACTTACACTTATATAGCGCCCTCCACGCAGGGCAGTGTCCCAGAGTGCTTAACAGTGGCGGAACCTGACTCTGAGCTGGAAGGGAGGGGGGTAGGTGACTGTAAGTATGGTCGAAAAGGTAGATTTTCAGACGGGACCTGAAAAGGGGGAGAGGGAGAGTGTTCCACGTTTAAGATCATTCAAGATCAATAAAATGCTGAAAGCTGTTGCCTTTCAAAATTTATCAAGTTAAATAACTTTACAAGTGAAAATAACAAGACTTATATGCATTCACACAAATTATATAATAATAATCTTTGTATTTGATACAGTGCCTTATGACATCGTCAAAGTTCTTCACAACATATACTGTGAAATTGATTGACTGTATTTTATGGGCAAAATGCACACATACACATATAAAGATATATTCACAATACACACAAAGACATACATAATCTGTATACACATAGACATTAGGAGTTAGACAAACATTTTAATAGGAATAATATAAAATGATCTGTGGGAATTTGGAACACTGTGATCATCTCCAGGGGCGAGCTGACCCCAACATAGGCTGAATGGTTTCCTTCTTTTTTAATGATTTGAACGCACATACAAACACAGTATACAGTACTTTCATATTTACACACACACAGATACATACATATATTCATATATATATATATAAAGAGAGCGAGAGAATTGTAAGATTGTTCTCTATGGTTTTCCATAAAAAAAATTTCATATGTAAAAAAAATTAAATGTCAGGATTACCTCCCAAACCATTTGCAAATTTCCCCCAAACATTTGATCATTATAAATTAATACAGGAGCTCTTTGTTTTCAATGGCTGCATGAAGAAAAGAGCCTTACTTTCTGCCTGCTAGTTCCCTTAAAGCTTCTTAAAAGAGGCAAGACGCCGCCGTATTTTTTCAAAGTTAGAAGCTCTAAACGTATGAATGTAATCAATGAAACATGACACACTATAAAACTATTGTTGGGGGCACTACACCTGACAATAATTCCTGTTAAGTCACATTTTGATGTGAAAAGTTGCTGCAAAAATATTTCTCTCTCTCTCTCTCTTTCTCTCTCTCTCTCTCTCTTTGTGTCCTTGCGCAAACTGAATCAGGCCTCTCACCAGTCTCGGTTTGCTGTCCTGTGGTGTCAAATCCTCTACATTACTCGCTGGAACAGTCTATTATTAATAGTCTATTGGCACACCATAAATCTTGACTCTCTCAGGTAAACACCTGAGAACATGTTCTTATACTTACATTGCCCACAAAATATACATAGTCACACCACTTTACAGAATATCCTTCAAAATGCTTTGAGATGTCTTGACAATGTGATAAAGTACTATAACATATGCAAGGATTAGTATTGTTAACTTTCTCATCACTTTACTCAGCCAAACAGTGAGTGCTAAACAATTGTGTGTGTTTAAACCTTTATTTGAGGCAAAACTACAGCATGTAATAGTGTAACATTATAGAATAAACATTGCATTAAGTAATTGTGAGGACAGTTTTCTATCCAGCATTGAAAAATCCTGCAGAGGTACACATTTCAAAACTGTTCTGACACAGCATCATCTAGTGGCAATATTTTGAAGTACCATTTACAGTATTCCAATAAAGGGGGAAAACCTCCAGTCAGCGATACATCTGGGTCCTTAGTGTCTGACATAACAGAATTTCACATATAGTCGTGCATTGCCAAAGGGGGTATGTGTAACCCTGAACAGGATTTGTACTGAAAAAGAGAGGCTAACAGAAAAGAGAGGAAACAGGTAAGAAATGGTACAGTAGCAAGTATGGATATCGACTAGCAGGCACCCATTATCTAATATTACTGCACTGATATTGCAGATTTCTAACAGTGAATTCTGTCTGTGTGAATTTATTTCTAATAACAGCAGGGACGGATGGTTGCAAGTCTTCTTCCCTTCCCCAAAACTGATGCAATTTTCCTTAAGAAAGAAAAAAAAAGGTTTTATAAATAGGGGCATAAAGTACAAGAGTCAGGAGGTTATGATTAATCTATATAAAACACTGGTTAGCCTCAGTTAGAATACTGCGCCCAGTTCTGGGCACCACACTATAGGAAGGATGTCAAGGCGTTGGGAAGGGTGTAGAGGAGATTTACGAGGATGGTACCAGGAATGAGGGACCTTGATTATGAGGAAAGGCTCGAGAGGCTGGGATTATTCTCATTGGAGCAGAGAAGGTTGCGAGGAGACCCAATAGAGGTCTTCAAAACCATGAAGGGATTTGAGAGGTTAGAAAGGGAAAAACTGGTTCCACTGGTGGGTGTGTCAGTGACTTGAAGTCACAGATTTAAAATAGTCTCTAAAAGAAGCAGAGGGGAGGTGAGAATAATTTTTTCACGCAGCGAGTTGTTCGAATCTGAAACGCATTGCCTGAAAGGGTGGTAGAGGCTAATTTGATAGCAACTTTTAAAAACTGGTATTTGAGGAGGACGGATCTGCAGGGTTATGGAGAAAGGGCTGCGGAGTGGGATTGACATTACATTGCTCTTTTCAAAGAGCCGGCACAGACTCGATGGGTCGAATGGCCTCTTTTTGTGCTGTACGACTCTATGATTCCCCTCAGGAAGCCAAGGATCAGAAATCCACCACTAGGCAGCCAGAATATTATTCAAAAAAATCAAGCAAAATTAATAGACCACACAAATGAGGAAAGGGAGGAGCATGGAGAGGAAGTGCCCCACATTAAAACATCTATTGGCAATACTTGCTGTGGTTGAGATAGAAAGTTGAGGACCATGTGCTTACTTTGGCTTTTTTTAAAAAAAACAAGTGTGAACAATCCAAATGCTTACTACTACAGAAACAGTTCACAGAACCAGGAAATCCAATTCAAGTGTGGAATCCAGATTTTCCCCAGAAAACTTGAAAACAAGCATGCTGTCTTGAGCTGGTGCTTTGAGACATCCTCTCGACATGAAAGTCACTGTATAAATGTAAACTGTATTTTATTGGTGCAAGTTCCCGTCTCTTACCATGATGGTGCTTGTTCCTTTTTTCTACCATCCCATCTCTCGCTACTTGTTCTTGCTTCCTATTCTGCTTCCACTAACTATTCAAATGAGGATGAGAATTTCTATCCACTACATTGGGTGGTGCTTACCTACACATCTTAGACTGGTGATTCTGATCTACGTCCTTCTAGGACAGTTCAGAGGGATTTGGGTGTCCTTGTACACCAGTCACAAAAAGTTAGTATGCAGGTACAGCAAGCAACTAGGAAGGCTAATGCCATGTTGGAGTTTATTGCAAAAGGGTTAGAATACAAGAGTAGGGAAATCTTGCTGCAACTGTATAAAGTGTTGGTGAGACTGTACCTAGAATATTGTGTGCAACATGTGAGTGACACACACAAAGTGACACTCAATGTCATTCAGGACATTTATATCAGCTCAGCGTAGGAGCAGAGTTGAATTTAGATTATAAATTTGTCCCCACACTGAACAACAGGCAAATTAGAGCCACATAACAGAAACATAACTTGCTTTCTCAGATTAACATTTTATCCTAAGGAACATTTGCTACAGTAGGTCCTTCCCTGTGATATCTGCAGCTTATGCAGCGATGACACTATGTACTTTTCCTCAGTAATTTGCCAAGACCAGATACCAATTAAAGGAAACCCATTAAAAAAATGCTAATAGCTATAGACAGTTACGGACTAGATGAGACCACTACAGACTAGACAGAGTCAGAATTTAATGAACGTAAAGGTTCATCTGCTTTAAGAGTATTTTCTTCTCAAACTGGATTAACAACACAAAATATTCCAGTCGTTGGAAGTTCCAGCATTTTGATTGTCAAGTTTTAAATGTACCAGATAAATGTCCCATGACGGGTCCTTTTGAATAACTAAAACCGAGATGGGTTTCTACATGAACCATGTGTTGCATCCTTTTTTGGACCAGTCTTTGTGTAGATTTTTGGTTACCATTCCTTCTCACTTTCTTCTGTTAGACAGCACAAGGATATCTTTTGGACGTATTCAGAAAAGATATCTAGGAAAATCAAACAAACAGTTAAAAAGTTTCAATCCCATGTGAGACGACCACCATTCATCATCAAATATAGTCAGAAACATTGACAATGATCAATGTTTGGTGCTACATATTACTTTGCATCTACTAGCAGCTATACTAGTATTTAGATATGTAGTTTGGATATTTTTGTTTGGACAAATGGAACTATTCATGCAAGAACACACATCCAAGAGTCTTTTGCACTGACTGGCAGCCAGATAAACGACAACAACGCACATTTATACAGTGCTTTTCACACAGGCTAACTAACGTCTGCAAGCGCTTCAATTAATTATACACCTATCTCAAGCAGACTGGATGCAAAGCTTTGTGCTACAATCACATAAAAAGAACACCCATGATCTGAGAAACTTACCTAAATATTTCTTAAGACACTTTGGTCGTTTCTGAGGTGGGAGGTACACACAGAAGAAATAAACTGGGGCCCCTGAGAGAGCGACCGCAATCCCAACCAGTGAGTTATAGGTGTCGCTGTAAAGAGGCATCACCACGAGAAAAATGCTGCACATGCAGTACACAATGGGGAAGAACAAGCTGAGCTGAGAAGAGATAAAAACACAAGCGGCAGATGATGAGGAGGAACTTTGCAGATACAAAAAAATAATATTGGGCTCTAATTTGAGTTTTCCTTAACTGAAGGAGTCTTGTTATAATTCAGGTCAATGTGCGGGAACTTCGCTCTGGAGGAACATCGGAACAGAGCAAGAGTGCCTGCGAGATGCCGTGACGTGCTCGAGTTACTAGACTGAGCTTGTGCAAGTTGAATTCCCCATTAAGGGATTTTCCAATGACCCTTATTAAAGGAATCCTTTATCAGGGAATCCTGTTAATACCAAAAATTAGACTACTTTTTAAATACTGCAGTGCTCCCCCACATCTTTTCTATGACTCAAAGTTGTGCATCTCTGATAAACTAAACACAATACACATTTACATGGAGTTTTTCACCACAGGAGGACCTCTCAAATTGCTCTCAAAATTAAACAAAAATAATTCCACAAATCATTTGCTTCAATTAAAAAAGGCAGCTTCAGAATTTCTCCCATGTGATGAGAGGATACTTTTTAAAAACAAAGTGTCCATTCCAATCTTCTGCCCTTTCTTTTCTAAAGGGTAGTGCCCCTTTTGCTTCTGTTTGGGTCAATCCCGTAGGTGCTGGATGCCCTCTGGACACCTTCGAGTGTGAACTACAATATAAGGGGCTGCCCAGGTCTTGGAGACGGTGCAGAGGAGAGCAACAAGGGTGATCCCCAGTGTTAGAGGAATGAGTTATGAACAAAAATTAAACAAGCTAGGGCTCTGCAGGCTTGACAGAAGATGACTCAGAGGGGACCTTATTGAGGTGTAGAAAATTTTAAATGGGATTGAAAAACCCAGATTAATACTTTAGGATGTATTGAGACAGTAGAACAAGATGACATAGGTTTAGAGTTGTAAGATGCAATTTCAAGACAGAAACCAGGAAGTATATCTTTACGCAGAAGGTAATCAATGACTGGAACAGGTTGAGGCCAGGACACTGGACTCATTTAAAAAACAGCTTGATGCAGTGATGGGGGGATGGCAGGGTGCGTGTTTTCGAGGGATGAGATCGGATGGGCCGAAGGGCCTTCTTCATCCAGACCAATGTTGTGATCTTTATATTTTGCAAGATTTTTGACCGTAACATGGGATGGAAAACCTGAACAATAGAATTTCCCAGATTCCAGAACAGACACTCTCTTGTTCTTCTCCTGCTTCCTGTATCCCTATCCCGTCCAATGTGCCTCAAGGAATATCTGCTGGTTTGTACAATCGCATTGTGAGTCAGGAAATGTCACTGGCAAGCAGGACGATCTCAGTCTCCTTTTACAATGTGAAAATTGTTGCTCACATTGCAAGCTTCTGGGAGCAATTCATTGCAGCTAAACAGGTAGATACATGTCAGGTGGTAGAGCTATACAGAAGCAAAATAGATCATGGGCAATGGGGGCTGGTGGGTGGATGGAAGTCCGCAAAAGGAAGGATACTTGAATTAAGAAGGGATGGGCATGGAGGAGGTTTGGAGAACACAGGACACAAACAATGCAGGGTGAGAGGCAAAGAACAAAACAGCAAGAGACTACAAAAAGAAACACTCAGCAGGGCTTGGAAAAAAAACAGCAGTGAGTAGCGACAAGTTGTAAATAATGCAGTTTATAGCCTTACATCAAACCACTATTGTTATCTAGCTGTGCTTATCTGAGTAATTAAATAGGAAAAACTGAATTGACACTTTTTTAGTGCAGCTAAAGCCCATTACATGCTGTGGGTTGTTGCACTAATAAGCTTGGGTAGAGACTGGATTAATCAGTATCACAAGGGCATGAGCCTCCTCCGCCCAGCGACTGGAGATTGGGTATACTGTACTAAACAATACATCACACAGCCAAGAGGCAAATTGAAATATAGGAAGGATAAACCAAAAATACATTTTAAAAATGGAGTGCAAACAATCACGGCCATTGTTCCAAACAACTGTTGAAAAAATATTCAAGTGCAGTTTGATTCTTTATTATTAATAATGATGATTCGTGCATTTGATAATCGCACCTTATCACATTGTTGAGATAAGCTCTTCACGGGATTTACTGTAAAATTTCATGTCTGTAGCAGCCAATTTGCACACAGCAATGTCCCACAATCAGTCTTGAAATGGATGAGCAATTAAATATGGGTGATTGATAGCCAGAAAACTGGGGAGAAACACCCCTTTCTTTGTGAATAGGGCCACAGGATCCTTAACGCCACCTGAACTGGCACTGTTATTCAATATATTTTTTTCTAAATCCTTATCAACCTGTCTACTCCTTCCACTCAGCAGGCTCCAGCCCGCTTCATGTTCCCCGCCCGTCCCACCCCACCATCAGCGGTCGCGTCTTCAGCCTCTCTGTCCCCACTCCTTGGAACTACATCCCACATTCCCTTCACCTCGCTCCCTCCCTTGCCTCCTTCAACAACAACAACAAGATTCCATTCATGGAGCGCCTTTCATGTCGGGAGGACGTCCCAAGGCGCTGGACAGTTGGGTCAGGACCCGAGCAGGGGGGAAATGGTCAGGGGGAGGGGAGGGAAGGGAGGAGCGAGAAGGGGGTAGAGAGTCAAGAGGGGAGCTGAAGGCACGGTCAAAGAGAAAGGTCTTGAGACCGGCCTTGAAGGAGGAAAGGGAGGAAGCAAGGCGAAGGCACTGGGGGATGGAGTTCCAGAGCCTCGGGGCTGAGAGGCTGAAGGCCCGACCACCGATGGTAGGGCGGTTGGGGCGGGGGATGTGGAGCAAACCGGAGCCAGAGGAACAGAGGGTACGGGCAGGTAAGTAGGGGGATAGTAGGTCGGAAAGGTAGGAGGGAGCAAGGCCGTGAATGGCCTTGTAGGTGAGGATGAGGATCTTGAATTCAAGGCACATCTCAAGATCCTCCCCTTCGACCGTGCCTCCGGCCACCCTCCTGCCCCGCTCTCCACTCTGCCTGATCCCCCCCACCCCCCACCCCACTCGAGTCCTAATCCCTGACTGTTCAGCGCCTTGGAACATCCTCCCGACGTGAATATCGCCATACAAATGTAATTTTGTAATGTATTTTAATGATTGTAGTTGTAGAGATAGTAACGCTCATACCTTTACAGGTCTTGGTATATCTGGGAACTTCCACCTCATATGGATGAGACTCGCAACAGACAGGCCAATGAAGAGCCAGTAGTTAAAACTGAAGTAGTTGATCAGTTTGAAAATATCTTCTACACACAGATAGATTAAAGACATCCCTCCCTATAAAAAAGGCAAAACATTTAGTTAACACAGTATAAGAATTAATTTTCCTGAATTAGAAAAACAATAAGCTTCTTTAGTGAAATGTGTATGTCGGAATAAGTGCTCTAAATTCATACAGTCGTTTGGTTCCATTGTCTGTCTAGTAGGTAAAACCACTGCCCAAACCAGGACTAGTGCATGCAGATTGGGTAACCTGGTCTGTGCTCATCTCCATGAGGCAGCAATTGGGGCTATTCTTCCAGGCGGGAGAGAGAACAAGGTAAGTGGGGCCTCTTTGGAGCTGAGATAAATCGATTTCCTTAAAGCTGAGTTGGCTCCAGGGTGATGTACATGCTTGTCATTGTAATGTCAGAATGGAGTCAACCCTCTGGTGGTCTCAGCAGTCTCTTCCCTGAGCCAGGGGATCCACGGTACTCCAAGGCACTGACGAGGTAGCCTGGATTGTCGGCAGGACTTGGAAGGGCAGATGAGAGCAGGAATTCTTCCTACTTGGTCCCATTAGCCCTGCAAACCAAAGCCCTAACAGAACAAAGTCCTACCCGGAAAAACAGTGAGAACCTTTCCAGACAGTGTTCCCAATGGCAAATTAATTAAAATCCATTAATACCATAACGTACAGATACTGTGGGGGCAGATAATGAACACCAATTGGTCACTTCAGACAGTAAGCGGCACCTTAGTACAACACTGAAAACTATCACTGATTTTTGTGACATTTGGAAAGAATCCGAAACAAATTAGCTTTTGATTTATACTTACGTTAAAACACAGAGCTGGGATAGGGGTGTACCTAAAAATATGGATCATGCACAGGACACTTGGAAGGTGACCTTCACGTGAAGCAACAAAGAAAAGCCTGCAATACAAACAATGGCAGGTTAGAGGGGCTGCCACACTGGCAAAACAGATCAAAGTAATCTTCTTAACCTACATCTCAAAGTAATCGGACTAGTCAGCACTTCAATTAACAATTACTACTGAGCACGTCAATGCATAAAATAATCAAACTGCACTGGAGAATGCTATACGTGTCGGCTGATTAAAATTCATGTTTTTCAGGATTAAAATTCATTTTCTGAAACCCCAATGCTGATCGAAATGTGTGCCCGAGACTTTTGTACCCCAATGATAATACCAATTCTTATTCACTTTCATTTTCCTTTTCGGTCAAAAAACAGTGAAAGATCAAGTAACATATCTAAGCACTGGCCTCAGGGAGGGAGGGGGAGACAAGGGGGTTAATTAATCTGGTTATATTCTTGAGCCTAAAAACTGGCTCGAAGGCAAGCAGTTATGCAAGTAATTCGAAGCATACTTGGAGATGTCAACCCATCCTCAACCCCACAAGCTAAGTCCTAAGGCAATGATGGTGCTAACTGGAAATTTGTCTTGTTGCAATTACCCTTATTGAATTCTTGTGAAAGATCATGCCTAAAATACTACCCCATCGTTCTCCTTCAAATACTGATTGACCTGTGCAGATTTAGGGTTCGTGTTTAAAATATCTCTGGTTATTATTGAAGCTCCAACTCGCATAACGTTTGCATTCATTACATCTAGGCTCGTCTACGCTAACTACGCTTGTCGGCCTTCCCAACTCGTCCCTACACAAGCTGCAGAACATTCATAACTCTGCAAGATGTGTCCTCTTCCGCACCAGGCTCCTTGACCCTATCACCCCCACCTGGCTCCACTGGCTCCCCATCCCCTAGAGGATAGAGTCAAAATACTCGTCCTCTCCTACAAAGCGCTCCATGGCCATGCATCTTCTTATCTCTGTGAACCCCTTATCAACCTGTCCGCTCCCTCTGGTCAGCAGGCTCCGGCCTGCAACATGTCCCCTGCCTGGCCCGCCCCACCTTCAGCCTCTTTGCCCCCACCCTTTGGAACTCCATCCCAGTTCCTTCGCCTTGCTCCCTCTCTTGCCTCCTTCAAGGCTGATCTTAAGACCCTCCTCTTCGACCTCCCCTTCGGTCAACCCGCTACCCCTACCCTCCCTGCCCTTCACTCCTCCTGATCCCAAGTCCCTGCTCAAGTCCAAATCTCTGACTGTCCAGTGCCTTGGGACGTCCTCCAGACATGTAAGCCACTATACATATGTAATTTGTTTGTTGAGTCAATAAAGACACTGTCCATTGCAACACTGGGCCTACGGACCAGAAGGTTGCTCAGAGTTCCTAAATTAGGGAAGAGGAGACACATTCTCACATCTTACCACTCTTCAAGGAATGGCGATCCTATTGGAAGGTGCAGCTGAGGACAGAACTGTGCTTATCCATGATCTATTGGGGATGCCACCAGACTCAATGCCAACACTTACTGTCAAGTCTCATCCATGAATGATATTTGAGTGAGTTACGGCATTGGTGACTGGTAGTCGGGGGACTATACATATATCCCAGTAGGACAATGGAATCAAAAGCTTTGAAGTGAGGAGGAGAGAGAAAAAAAAGTTTCTTTTTTTAATAAATTAGTTTTAATTTTATTTAATTATTAACTAATAATAAAACTCAGCATTCAAATGCAATTTGTGCACAGACTACAGATTGCATAAATACTGCAGCATGTTTTCAATGCACAGCTTATGAATAAATATAAGTGAAACTACTGCTGTTCAATTTGCAGTTCATAAGGTTTCAGAATTCAGTGTGTGCTGCTGTTATTCATCTCAATTATCTTCAGCTCCTGGTCCCATTGCGCCAGTACAGAATAAAGCACAGCCCTGTTCTACCTCCTACTCCCAATGGGGATCTCCAGAGAGAGAGACTGAAATCGCAGCAAGTGTTCTTTAGAAATAAGATTAGCTTAACAGTAAAAGCTGCCAGTACACCAAGGTAATAAATGGGTGTCAATTTATTTATACAGAGCTATGTAAATACGTAAAGTGTACAATTATATTGGCAGGATACATATCTCAACGCAACTGGTAGTTAGCCAACAATTAACAGAGTAATTGTAGTTAAATGTGTAGTTGAAAGAGTTTACAGTTATTGTATCCTGTTTCCTCTCACGTCAATCATTGATAGAGGTTTAATCTGATCAAACTGACAGCAGAGGCAAAACACATATAATAATAATAATCCTTGCATTTGATATAGCGCTTTTCACATCTTCTTGAAGTCTTAAAGCATTCACAGAATATGCTGTAAAGTGAATTGACCGTATATTTGTGGGCGAAACGCGGCAGCCAATTGCGCACAGCAGTGTCCCACAAACAGCCGTGGATTGAAAATGACCAATTTATTATTGTTTTGTTTTGGAGGGATTATTATTAGGCGTGTGGAGTAAGGAAACTTGCCCAATGTTTCGCCCTGCCTGGAATTGAACCCAGGTGTCTCGCTTGCAAGGCGAGTGCTCTAACCACTGAGCCACAGGACTTTGATTTCTTCCTGCGAGTTTTATTTGAAGGATTTCTCTATCTAGCCTCAATACAGAGTTTGGTTGTAAAGGAAGGGAAAAAGATAATCCCTATTGTGGATTTCACTCTGAAATTTTATTCCCCCAATTGAATTTTCAACATTTATACCTACGCAGACAGTAAAATGTATAACACATGTCAAAAAAAATCAATTGAATCAGTTTTATAATTGCTATGGGAGTAAATATGAAATCTGGATGATTGCATCCTGCTGATCTTGGTCGCTAATCAAATTAACACGCGTAAAATTACTTCCAGAATTTGTCTGACATAATATTAAAACAGGGACCGGTTTGGAGTGTAGATTAGAGGGATGTCTTTAACTTTCTGGTCCAGATTGAAATGCAGACCAGATTCATGGGACAAACGCCTTGCCTCTCTGCTGGTTTTAAGGTTTCTACTTGAAATGAGGTTGGGCAATCACAAATCAATTCCTAGACAGCGTACACAATTGCCCACAAATTGAAACAAATGGTAGGCACAGTGCACCAACTGGACTTGTCACACAGGGTGAAATAAGACCCGCCAATGCTCTTCTAGGGCTCAGGCATGTTTACTCTGCAGTTGTCATGTTTAAAAGAGTAGGAAAAATAATAATTCTTCCATTTGATATAGCGCCTTATCATGTCTTCGAAGCGCTTCACAGAATATACTATAAAGTGAATTGACTGTATATTTTGTGGGCGAATGTACAGAAGTGAATCTCTATTCCAAATTCATAACTTATGAATAAGTAATGTTTGTGTTTTTCAACCATATCTGCTATATTTGATGATAAAATTCACTGTGACTTAGCTCTCACTCAGTCACCGTTGAAGCCACACCTACCTGGAGCTGGCAATGATCGATGAATTGAGCCCACCATAGCATGAGATTGCCACTGATAATGGTATAAACCACTTCACATAACCTAGGACTTGTTCTGCAAAAGTCTGAAGAAATATTATTATCAATAATTCCATATTTCAACATTTGCTTGCACAGTGCACCGTTTCACACAGAAACAAACAGCTTTTATTCAATTCACAATTCTAAAACCCTTTACAACTGGTATGAGTTTTGTGTTTCATAGGATGTGTGACATCAGATATGGGATGTGTGACATCAGAGAAACAAGAACATGTCATTAACACAACATTTTTGGTCATGATGGGGTCTAAAACACAGGGAATCGCAAGGAATCCTGTTAGAATTCCTGCTCATCTCCAGGAATTTTGATCCAGGAGGAGATCGAGAGGGGAGTGTTGCCTTGAGCTGTGCCTGCTGAAATGGAGAGAGAGGGGAGGTGACCGTAGGTACGGACAGAGTGGAAGATCTTTAGATGTGATTGAAAGATGGGCAAGGGGGAGGTGGGCAAAGCGGAGGGATTAAGGCAGAGAGTTCCAGAATTTCAGGGCACAGTGGCTGAAAGTACAGTCAGCGATAGTGGAGGGGATGAGGAACGTGTAGAAGGCTGCAGCCAGTTGAGCAAAGGGGGAGGGTGGCAGAGTGGAGTGTAAGCAGGACAGAGAGGTTGGTAGGTGCCAGGGCATGAAGTGATTTGTACATGAGATCTTGAAATTGATCGGTTCTGCAATAGGGAGCCGGTGGACTGGGGTAATGGGGGTGCAGAGTCTGGTACGGGTGAGAGTACGGGTGGCGGAGTTTGGATCAGTTGAATTTTATGGGTGGTGGAGCTGGGGAGACTGCCGAGGTGGGCATTAGAAAATCCAAGGCGGGAGGTGACAAAAGCACAAATGAGGGTTTCAGCTGCATTGAGGTATGGAAGGAAGCAGACGATGTGGTGAAGGTGGAAGAGAGTGGATCTGTTCAGAAATAGTTATTGGATTTAGGTATAGACTCCAGTGAATGTAGTGGTATTTGAGCAGAATGTAGCTGAGACAATTACTTTAGCCAGATGTTCACAGACAAAACAACCCACCCTTTAATGACAAATTTGGATGTAACCCACCCCTGCACCCCCCGCCCCCCACCTCCATTTCTGAAGACAGTTTCTCTCTCCAGGCCAGTCAGAATTCAAAAGGCTGACATTTTTCACCCTCAGCAAGCTCTGCTGAAACCTTTACTCCGATAATGTCAGACCAGGACTGGAGGCCTGACATTATTGTATGTTGCATTTGTGCCGAATTAATACTATGCAAGGCTGGCAAAAACTATATAAGAGACAACTGACAGGAAAAGAGGAATCTGGTTAATACTGTACTCACAGAGTTGAATAATAATAATAATCCTTGTATTTGATATAGCTCTTTTCACATCTTCTAGACGTCTTAAAGCGCTTCACAGAATATAATGCAAAATGAATTGACTGTATATTTGCAGGCCAAATGTGGTAGCCAATTGCGCACAGCAGCGTCCCACAAACAGTCGTGGGTTGAAGTGACCAATTTATTAGTGTTTTTTTTCTTGAAGGATTATTATCATAGAATCATAGAATTATGCAGCACAGGAGGAGGATCAGGCGTGGGGAGTAAGGAAACTTGCCCAAGGTTTCGATCTGTCGGGAATAGAACCCACGTCTCTTGCTTGCGAGGCGAGTGCTCTAACCACTGACTATAGAACTCCACTTTCATAGCACAGAATTCACACTGAGCTGACAAATCTATCAGATACGTAGGCAAAGGAAGAGAATTTACCACACATTCAAACCTGCTTCACTATATAGTGTTAAAATTGAATATAACTTTAAAGTTAAAAGGCTACACTCAGCCAACTATTTAGCAGAGACGCCTGCATAACAACATTTTGTATTTATATAGCGCTGCTTTACGTTGACATTTTTACAGTCATTAGGCAGCATCTCGGAACGCTTGACAGTGGCGGAGCCTCACGCCTGAGTTGGGGGGGAGTGAGAAGTAAGCACTGTGGGAGAGGAAGGTCTTCAATTGTGATCTAAAAGAGAGAAAGGAGGGGGAAAGGCGGAGGGATTGAGGGAGCGAGTTCCCAAGTTTGGGGGCATAGTGCCTGAAAGCATGGCTGCCGATGGCAGAGTGGAGGGGATGAGGGACAAGCAGGAGGTCAGAGCCAGTTGAGCGGAGGCAGCGGGTAATGAACTACATCTTCTATTAAAGACTGACTGTAAACTACATCGCACGCACCTCAAACAATGCACGAATCCGTGCAGAGATGTCAGTGTATTGGCTAAGCCATAAATGCCACATTGTGGTTCATTTGATTTACTTGCTAGTAAGAAAACGGATGAAAAGGTTTTAAAGCACACCCTCACTCCCCGTTTATTAATAAGGCAATTGTTTTCACAACCTTCAAGCCTCAGGCCTAAGCAATAGTAGAGACTGAGAGAGAAAAAAAACATGCTTCAAATGACTGCTTGATGGCCTTAAGTCATTCCTTCAGATGGTGGCGAAGAAAATGTCATCTAAATAACTGGAGACACTCACCACAGCTACAGCATCGCTGTGCAGGATGGTGGGAAGATCTAGGACACTGTAATAAGCCACGTTTGTCAGGATGTAGATGATGGTCACAATGGGCATAGAAATCCCAATGGCCAAGGGAAGGTTCCTGTGCCAAAGCAAACATCGTCAATCACACAGTTTTACACTAGTCAATTTTTGTTCTACTCAGAACTGCTACCACACAAGCATAGATATGCAGGCCACATAAGTTTCTAAAAAAACAAATTGCAACTTATTACAGTATTTAGAAATATGTTCTTTGCGTGCTATGTTAGTTGCAAGCGCTTCATATTCTGGCTAGTAATCTTGCAGGTGTCAGCAGAATTATTATCAATGGGATGGAAGTTTATTTAAAAATAATAGCTTCTCCGGTCTGATGAAACAAGCATGGGAGCTTGTTGTCTTCAGTGGTCAAAAGGAATGTCCTACTTACCTGTCAGCTAAGTAGAAAGGTGAGGGAAAGCTGTGTGTGTGTGTGTGGTGTGGAAACAAATCCAACATTCCACTGTCAAAACATTTTTACTGTCATTAAGGAATTGTTCATAGAATCATACAGCACAGAAGGAGGATATTCGGCACATCGTGTGTGTGTCGGCTCTTTGAAAAGAGCTACATCAATCCCATTCCCCCACTCTCTCCCCGTAGCCCTGCAAACTTGTCCTCCCCAAATATTAACTGTTATTTCTACAGATTGCTGTGTGTTTCTTTGCACTAGGCATCAGCCCCACAGCACCCACTCCGTCCCATGAGTTCATTATCTGATTTGCTCTCATTTCCTTGACTAGTTGAAGGGGAAGGTCGTGCTATTAGTTTCATCAATACTATGGAGCATGGAATTAAATCTGCCCCAGAGTAATGTGACACCAAGGCAGAGTCCACCTTTTGTTTACATGCCACACAGGCAGTATTGGATTTATTCCACTGCCAGATGCCAGGGAACACCACAGTTTCTAGAGATTTATTGCTCAATTTATAGGCTTCTGACCCACAATTCCAGTCTTTGTGGGGTGGTTTCAAATTACAATGTGACCAAACAAACACAGCAATAGTCTTAACCCTTATTTTTTTAAAAATATAGAACATAATTGAGTTAAACAGTCCAATGCATTCTGATGTAATGCCCTTCATGTCAGGAGGACGTATCAAAACACTTCACAGGATTTACTGTAAAGTGCATTACTGAGTATTTTGTAGGCGCACACAGCAGCCAATTTGCGCACAGCAATATCCCACAAACAGCATGAAGTGAGTGACCACTTTTATTTGGGTGATCAGGAGAAACTCCCTTCTGTTTTTGAAACATGCAGTGGGATCTTTACTTGAGTCTCAAATGAACAATGGTTCTCTGGTTCTCCGATCATCCCTGGTTGCCTCCCCATTTTCTCCCCTATTTCTGTTAACAATTTTTTTTTCATCTTCTTTCTATCTAATCTGGGCTATATTCTGTAACCCGCAGATGAACCTTATAGCTTTGTAACTGAATACTTTTAATCAAATTTTATAATATAATATTTAAGAGCATAGATTAGAGCTGGACATAAAATTATTGCACAAAGATACAAGATATTTGAAGTTAACTATCTTTACCAATCAATTCTATTGCTTTCAAAGTTGATGCAAATTCAGTAATCTTTTGATGGTAACAGTAAAACACACTCAATAACAATAATAATAATCCTTGCATTTGATATAGCGCCTTATCACGTCATTGGGATGTCTCAAAGCGCTTCATAGAATATAATGGAAAGAGAACGATATATATTATGTGGGCAAATGTGTCTGTCAGCACTATCCCATCTTGGACCTTCGTCATTGCATAAACAGATTAACGAGACGAGTTCTGGGCTTTTTTTGCAAAAGGTGTTCATGAAGCACACAATATCAAACCACCTATCTGTAAAATCAAAAATTGCGGCATTGCCAAGGTTCTTCCAATTGAAAATACCAACATAAGTATACTGAGGTCAGGAGGTAACCACACCTAGAAGCAACAGCACTTGATTTACATTGCAGCATTGCAAGCAATATTGTGCAAGAAAATCAAACACACACTTATTTGAAACAAAAGAGGTTTTACATCAAGAACAGAAAAATTAAAACATTAACCATACTTTCAAAAAGAAAAAGGCCCAATTGATTCTTGTTTTACACAGGAACACCTTCTCTACAAGCTACTTGACATCCTCCATAATGGCATGTCTAGCTAATGGGCCAGTTTGACTGGGAATGAAGGCAGAGATGAAAAGAAAATGTTAACACAGTTTACCACAAACATTGCCCACAAGACAACTGCAATTATAATCTACAATTGAGGCAGCTGGCACTTTGGAGCAGGTCGTTTGTACAATTAATCATTTTATTATGTTGTCCACATGGGCGGAAATTTAATGTGCATATAAATTCATTCAGCTGTTTGTCAGCTTAAAATATTTTACACAAAGTTCAGGATAACAGTTGGAGGATGCAGCAGAATTTCTACACAAAACAAACGTTCACTTGTTCATGGTAAGCACAATGAAAAATGCATAACTGCTCTATTGTCCTATTCATTTCCACAATTCATGTTTTATGATTCGTAGCTTTGTGGATGTTCTGTAATAAGCTGTTTATTTTTATTCAAAATTCAGTTGTACTGACAGGTCTGGATGTCAGATTGGGTCTGGGCATTGTCTGATGACTGAAAGCCTATATTACCATCACAAGATCTGTTTAGATGACAAAGGTCTTTTGGCTCATCTGACCTCCTAACCCCCTACCATCCCGCCCGCTTCCTCCACTCCGGCCTGCTTCACGGCCCCGCCTCGCCCGTCCCACCATTGGCAGGCGAGCCTTCTGCCATTCTGCTCCTACCATCTGAAACTCCATCCCACAGTCCCTCCGCCTCGCCCCCTCCCTCACCTCCTTCAAGACCCATCTCAAGACCCTCCTCTTCGACCGTGCTTTGGATCTCCTTGCTTCCTCCCCTGCCCTCCACCCTCCCCCACCCCGACCTCCAGCTCGGGTCCAAAACACTGACTGTCCAATGCCTTGGGACGTCCTCCCAACGTGAAGGGCACTATACAAATTAAATTTTGCAGTTGATCTCATCCTTCCAGAATACCCACCCTACCATCCTCCCATCACAGCAGCAAGCTGTTTTGCAGAGTCCAGCATCCTGACTTCAAGCACCCTTCCTGGTAACCAGTTTCAGTTGTTAATTACTTTATTTATAAACAAATGAATGAATGATGTCTGTCCTGAAATTGCCCTTTGCAACCCTAAACCTGTGTCCTGTTGTTCTGTGTCTTTCTTCATTCAAAAGTATTGTTCTGGGTTTATTTTCTCAACCCCATTTAAAATATTCAATATCTCTCTTAGGTCCTCTCTGAGACGTCTCATTCCATGACTGAAGAGTCCTAGCTTGTCTACTAATCATTGCTCACAGCCTGGGCCAATAGAAAAGTGTGGCGGCATTTTACCTCCATGGAACCCGTTATAAACATTACCCTCTGCTACAAACCTGTTAAAATTGTAGTTTCAGGCCTGGGGCCTCTCGTGCTATTTACCCGACGCTAATGTGGGTGGGATGTCTCCAGACACGCATGCAACACAAATGGCAAAGGGCTTCCATCCATTTGGAGACCCTGCTATTGTGATTGTCTGTGTCTCTCTCTCTCTCTCTGTTTGTGAGTGTCTCGATGTGACTGTGTCTCTGTATGTGTTTGTGAGTGGGTCTGTGTATGTCTCTCTCTCTGTCTGTGCATCTCTATCTCTCTGTCTGTGTGTCTCTCTCTCTCTGTCTGTGCGTCTCTCTCTCTCTCGGTGTGTGTCTCTTTCTCTCTGTCGGTGTGTGTCTCTCTCTCTGTCTGTGTGTGTCTCTCTCTCTGCGTCTGTGTGTGTCTCTCTCTGTGTCTGTGTGTGTCTCTCTGTCTGTGTGTGTCTCTCTCTCTGTGTCTATCTCTCTCTCTGTGTCTGTGTGTGTCTCTCTGTGTGTCTCTCTCTGTCTGTGTGTATCTCTCTCTCTCTCTGTATCTGTGTGTATGTCTCTTTCTCCGTGTCTGTGTGTGTCTCTCTCTCTGACTGTGTCTCTCTCTGTGTCTGTGTGTGTCTCTCTCTCTGTGTTGTGTGTGTCTCTGTGTGTGTCTCTCTTTGTCTGTGTGTGTCTTTCTCTCTCTCTGTATCTGTGTGTATGTCTCTTTCTCCGTGTGTCTGTGTGTGTCTCTCTCTCTGTCTGTGTCTCTTTCTGTCTGTCTCTCTCTCTGTGTCTGTCTCTCTCTGTGTGTCTGTGTCTCTCTCTGTGCGTCTGTGTCTCTCTCTGTGTCTGTATTTGTGTCTCTATCTGTTTGTGTGTGTGTGGTGCTAGGCCCTGAGAGACAGGAGATGATGAACTCCTGTATCCCCGCAGTCAGAACACTTGACCTCCTCATGTTTTCCTGATGTTTTTCGGCCGATCTCCAGACTGTTTGGGCCTGCTCTGGTGTCCCCCCCACCCGCCCATATGGACCACCCAGTGTTTATTAAAGAAGAAATTAATTTTTTAAAAAAAAGAAGAAATAAATTTTAAAAAAATGCAGCAATCTAATGTGTTGTTTCCTCAGATTTAGTTTTTAATCAATAAAGTGAAAAAAATGGTAGTTGGCAGTAAAATGTACCTCAACAGCACCAATCAACGGCCCACAACATTTGCAAATTTCCCTACAATTTGGGCAAATCTTTCCGCACTTTTCTATTAGCCCAGCTCATAGCTCATTGTCCTAACACTGGGGATCACTCGGGTTGCTCTCCTCCACACTGCCTCAAGGACTTGAGGAACCCTCTAATGTTGCCCACACACGCGATCTAAAAGAACATGCCACACAACTAACATTAATGTGTAATATGTTGAACGAGAAACAAACAAGCGTGTCCCTTGAAGGGGAACCTATAGTTAAATAAAAATCAAGAAGGAAGAGAAAAATGATCAGCTCCGTGGCAGTTTGACAGCTGTGTAGGTGTGAGTACTGCCCTAACATCTGTGGAAGAAAAAAATATATGGGGGTGGGGAAGGAGTGATGGTAACTGCCAAGATCATAGTATCATAGAATTATACAGCACAGAAGGAGACCATTTGGCTCATCGTGTCTGTGCCGGCTCTTGGAAAAGAGCTATCCAAATCAATCCCACTCCCCTGCTCTCTCCCCATAGCCCTGCAACTTGTCCCCCCCAAAATAATTATCTAAATATATCTAAAGAAACGGTTTAGAAAGGAGAAGTGGAAGTACTTGCAATGTAAAAATGCTTTCTTTGTCTAAGAGAAAAAACTTCTTCCCTTGCCGGAAAGTTTTTTAAAAAACAGAAAGCATATTCCAGTGGAAAACAAGACCATGAAAAGTGGATTACGACTGTGTGAGTTGCCTTCATTAGTGAGGAGCCTCCATTGTGTGCTTCTGAGAGGATTTCCCAGACCATGAAAACTATAGGAAAGGCAATTAGCAGGGATTGGGGCTCATGTGGAATATAAACTCAGCATATATGCAAATACTGACTCTCTTGTCTGGGTAGATCAAGCCTAATTCACAGATCAGAATACCACTAACAATTTCTTTTCTGCCAAAGGCAAATAAAGCAACTGCTTGATAAATTGATGCCATAAACCTGACAAACAGCCTAACCTGCCATAAAGTTGCACAATTGACATACTCAACATAATAATAACCTGGAGGAACTTGCATTCTGTCATCAAATTTGCTGGTAACAGAACCGAGCAGCTAAATTAAAAGTGGTTCTGCATCACTGTCCTGCTGTACTGTGCTGCAGTTTGCTCCCTCTCTTTCAAACTTTGTGGCTGGGATTAGAAATAGATCAAAAACAATACATACTATGTATTACATTACAAATAGACCCCAAACGCTATGTGCATAATGTACAAACAATATGTACCCTCCAGCCCCCAACCCAAATATGGGGGGGAGAAAAAGAGGTGAGTGTGAGAAGCAGACACTCATTCTGCCGTATCTCAACCATACACCCACCCAACGATTGCACGATCTGCATGCAAAGAATATCCACTGACACAAATGATGACGAAATGCCTTTACTCACCTTTCAGGTTTTTGAATTTCCTCAGTCACAAAGTTAAGGGTGTCCCAACCTGAGTAGGAGTACAGTGCTGAATACAAACCCAGGGCCATATCTCCAACTTTCAGATTGGACCCTTCAAAAGAATTTTCGAAGTTGTTTGTCAGTCCTGAAATGGATAATTGCAGTGTCAGGAAAAAACAACAAATATGTTATTATCTCTTTTCAGAACAAAAANTGTTTTTTTACCAAAGCAAAGTGTATGTAAATTGATCGTCAAACACTGCAATTTTCTGTCCAAAGTCTTTAACAGTGGTAAATCTTAGTACAAAGGCAAAGAAAACAGATATCTTATCACTATGCTTGATAGTAATTACTAATGAAGCTGTTTGAGACAGGATACAGTGCTATAAAAAAGCAAGTTCTTTCCTTTCTAAACAAAATTTTCAAAATGCCATCCCTCTGCCACAAGAACTTGAATTAAAATGTTTTTTTTAAAGTCTCAAATATAGAGTGTACTGTTAAACAGGGTTCTTCTCTTCTAATATGGTCTCTAAAGTTAATCAGTGTACTTCTCTTTCAGTATAGTTTCTCATATTAATTTTCCATTAGCTCTTCCCAACAAAAGGATGAGATACTGTAGGCTGGGAACATGAACACAGCTGCCATCAACACAGCCACACACTAGTCAACAGAACATGTTCGTCCACAAAGCGTACAGTCACTGCACTTCCTGTGAAGTGCTTTGGGAATTCCTACCAACATGAATGTAAATATAAGGATTATTATTCATTTTAATTATAACAAGTACTGCAAGTAAAGGGTGTGTGAGAGTCAGACTTCTTTTACCCCATCCATTTCTCCCTCACTCACAAAAGACACCATGCAACTACCTGAAGCCACTTACCTTGGCTGAGCCTCACCACCCCAGCAATGATGATGATAATTAATGCGATCACTTTGGCAAATGTTGAGACCACCTGAAGAATGGCTCCCCATTTCACTTTGGCACAATTCACCAACGTCAGCAGACCTAGGCGTTAAAAGTACACAAAGCAAAGTGTATGAGGTCTAAAGCAGACTGATGGCTAAATACTGTGAGCTTTTTAATATTTAGTCATTTATCACAAGGGGCAACTTTAACAAAAAGTCGTGAACAAAGAAATTGGCCTCAGTCAACTGGGGTCTAGTACTTAAAATGACCTGTTTAACCGCAGTGGAGGAGCCAAAGCTAGCACAGACATTTTAACAAGTCTTACTTAACAACAACAAAATTACATTGGAATGGTGCCTTTCATGTCGGGAGGATGTCCCAAGGTGCTGGACAATTAATGTTTTGGACCCGAGCTGGAGGTCGGGATTGGAGAGGGTGGAGGGCAGAGTGGGGGAAGAAGGGTGATCGTGGGCAAGTCGAAGAGGAGGGTCTTCAGACGGGTCTTGAAGGTGGCAAGGGAGGGGCGAGGCGGAGAGACTGTGGGATGGAGTTCCAGAGGGTGGAAGTGAAGGTCTTTGAAGGTAAGGACCAGGATCTTGAACTGTATCCTCTGTGTGATGGGAAGCCAGTGGAGTCGGATGAGGATGGGGGTGATAGCGTCACGGAGTTTGGTGCGGGAGAAGACACGGGCTGCAGGGTTGTGGATGATCTGCAGCCTATGGAGAGAGGATTTGGGGAGGCTGACAAGCAGAGAGCTTGCATAGTCAAGCCTGGATGTTTTGAATGCATGTACAAGGTCTCAGCGGCCTGCGGCATGAGATAGTGGCAGAGCCGGGCGATGTTGCAGAAGTGGGGCAGGTAGTGCGAGTCATGACCTTAACAAGAAGGTGTTACATGTTAGGCTATTGGAGTGTTAATGAAATTGTATTAGCCAAGGTACATACAGTAAAATAACAATTTGCACTCACATAGTGCCTCTCATATAGAACGTCTCAAAGTGTTTTGAAACGTCTGAGAGGGGGACCAAACATGGAGGAATCTAGCTGAAGGTGCAGTTGAAGACACAGGTTTCTGGTGTGTTTTAAAAGCAGTGGAGGCCTGGTGGAGAGATTTCAGAAGAGAACTCAACAGGGTGGGTTCAAAACTGTCTGAAAGCTTGTCAGCCATTTTTGGGGTGGAGTGGACGGTGGACACATTGCAGGCCGGAGTTGACGGAAAGGATGGGGTGGATGGGGAGGTAGCTTTGCAATAGATGGCAGCGAGGTAGAGAAAGGTTGTGGAAACATTTGAGGGTGAGCACGAGGTTGTGGAGGCATTTAAAATTGATCTGCTGGAGGAGAGGGAGCCCATGGAGCCAAACGAGTGGGGGTGATGGGCTCACGGAGGCTAGTGTGGGAGCTGAGCTGCCCCTTATACGTGGCGACCTGAGCTGTGTGCTGTACTCTAGGTGTGGCCTAACCAGAGCACTATGTAGTTTGAATACAATGTGTAGAGGCGGGTCTTGTCCAAACATTTTTATCCTCAGACAAATCAAGGTTGTTTGCCTTAATGAGTGACTAGAGTTTATGTTCAAAGAACTCCCAATAAAAACAGAATGTCACAAAATAATTCTTTGATGATACCTGGGACCCGCCTCATCTAGCTTGGCTGCTTCAGTGACATTTGTATTGGGGGGAACTGGAGTGGTTCATTGTGCTTATGAATTGAGTATCCATCCTAATCCCAAAGGAGTCTCACTGGTTCATTCCCACAATAAAGGCCCTGACATAGCCCAATGCAAAGGGAATGACAAGTAACCAGTCACAAGTGCAGATGTTATACAAGGAAAGGATTAAATTATACAAATTTTACTTGTCTCCATTCCTACTGATAACGCATTGAACAAAAACTATCCCCTCTATTTGCTCTTGAGTGTGAATATTTTCACCCAAAAAATATAGTTAATTCACTTCACAGTATATTCTGTGTAGCGCTTTAAGACATGATAAGGCGCTATACCAATGCAAGGCTTATTATTACGTAAGGATTTAAAAAATCCTTTTTTAAAAAAAATCATAAGTTTTGCCATGCTCTTTCTTTAAGAGCTCCCAATTTACTCAATTTAGTTAAGAAGGTAAAATCCAAAAGAAAAGAACACTGGACTCATTTTTAAAAAAAAATTGATGCTTTGATAAAAGGACAGTAGGGTGGTTATTCTGGAAGAACAAGATCAAATGGGATGAAGGGCTTTCTTCATCTGAAGCAATCTTGTGATGTGGTAAAATAATTATTTTTAATTGACTATAATTAACTATTTTATTCCTTTCCCCTCAAACTCACATTCTTAAATGTTTAAATTAAAAAGGCAAGATTTTTAAATTATTTCTGCAAAGAAGTAGCTTTTTTTCTTAAGTATTTTTAAAAACAAAACGTCCTAATTTTGTACTATTGAATAGCTTGTCAGCCAAATTTAACATTTTGTGTTTTTTCCCGCTGTAGTTGATAAAAAAACAAACTTTTGTCTGAAACTATTCAACTGTACTGTGTACATCACACAATTTGTCTGATACACATGATCCATCTCAATCACCCACATCTGCTGCAAAACACGGAGTAGAATCAACTAAGAATGATGGAACAGATGCATCTGCCACAGAACTCATAATCTCCTGACCCAGAGGCAAGAGTGCTACGAACTGAGGCTGACTGACACTTGAAACGATTAAAAAGGTTTCTGCTTAAAAATAGTTTAGCAATCGACTGACTTCACTGCTGCCTATTTTTAGTAGAAAGTTTTGCAACTTTCCACAGATTTAACGTCCAAATAGGTTTTGCTACAAGAAACTTTTTCAAGGTCGGTCTATGAAAAGAATGCCACATCAGTCACCAATATATTCAAGGCTGCACAGTGACTTCAACAAACTAAATCTAGCAATGTCTGTTCAAAGAAGGTCTGAATTATCAGTCTTGAGCTGTGCAGAGGAGAGGGTAAGCAAGCATAGTGCATTCCAGAGGTTGAACAAGAAGCTAATCTGCTTACCAGCTGACAGTTCCCATCCAGCTTGCCAGAATGCCAGAAGACAACAAAAGCAATTCAGAACAGCAGCCACTGCCTTCTGCACCCAACCAAATGAGGATGTTCCCTCACTTATACATTTTCAAGCTGTGGCACTGGTAAGGCTGATTGAGATGTATCACGTTTATCAAGATGGATAATAATAATAATCCTTGCATTTGATACAGAGCTTTTCACGTCTTCTAGACGTCTCAAAGCGCTTCACAGAATATACTGTAAAGTGAATTGACTGTATATTTGGTGGGCAAAACGCAGCATCCAATTGCGTACAGTAGTGTCCCACAAACAGTCGTGGATTGAAGTGATGACCACTTTTTTTATTTTTTTTTGGATGGGAACTGTCAGCTGGTGGAGTCCTGTAGCTTAGTGGTTAGAGCACTTGCCTCGCAAGCGAGAGGACCTGCGTTTGATTCCCGGGCAGGGTGAAACATTGGGCAAATTTCCTTACTCCACACGCCTGTTTACCTAGCAGTAAGTAGGTAGCAGTTAGTCGATTGATGGATTGCTTTTCCGGGGGTGACAATTCCTTCAATATGAATAAAAATAATTTGGTCACTCAATCCATGACTGTTTGATGGACACTGCTGTACGCAATTGGCTGCCGCGTTTTGCCCACAAAATATAGTCAATTCACTTTACAGTATATTCTGTGAAGCACTTTGAGATGTCTCGAAGATGTGATAAAGCGCTATATCAAATGCAAGGCTTATTGTTATTATAAGGCAATGGGAGACTTCACTTTACAGGAACAAGTAAAGAAAAGTCCAGATAAAGAAGGCCCCTCCTCCAAGCGTAGTGGTTAGAGGAGCACCAACTGAACAGATCAGTGCTGGCAAACAGAAGGAGACCCTTAAACTGGAACTCACAGAAATGCTTCGGAGGCAGTTTTCCAAGAAATCCAGATATGAAAACAGGGTTTAGGCAATTAAACAGTCGATCCACACAAAAAAAAGAAATGACATGTTGGTGAGCAGGGTGAAAAGAGACAAGAGGGAAGCAAACGTCAGGACAGAGAGAGGGATGAACTTCTTCAACACTGCCATGTTCTGGCTTTTTCTTTCAGATGCTCATTGACCAGATGTGCATTTGCTTCATTTTCTGGTTTGTATCTGATTTCCAGCAATAGTAGGTTTTCGCTTTAATCTCTTCTAATTGACCATTATATGCAGCCTCTGGTATTTGGTAAAGCAAATCTGGGTTTCACTGATTCAATTAATTGGCTCCTGGTACAGTTGGCCATCACATTAAATTCTGTTTAATAAAGAATGAGGACTTGCAGTGTTTGTAATCTAGATGCACTTGTTCAAATGAAATAAGATTTGTGTTTCTGTACTGATATGCAATGCCCTTTCTGGGGTTTGCAGAGAAGTTTGAGTAGGATTATACCAGTGTCAAGATGCAAGCGTTGGTAGAACAAAGCCTATGTTTTTATTGGCCAGGGTAATGGCCAGCCTCGTCTTTTTGAATAGCTATGGAATCTTTAACATTCAACTTAAAACAAGCAAATGGGCCCCTCTTTTAGAGGCTTGAATCTTTAATGACTGCCAAATAGGTCCTTGGTTTAGTATCTCACCCAAAGAACAACATTCCAACCATGCAAAGCTCACCCAGTGGGAAGCTCGCAGGGAGTGCCTCGTACTTACCATCCACCTAGTAAGGGCTCAAACCCACGCTTGTCGGATGTCGAACAATCAACTAGTGACTATCTTTCTTGGGGTGAGGTAAGTGGGGTCTCCTTGGAGCTGAACTGGCTCCAAGGTGACATATGTGGCAATGGAATGTCAGAATTGAGCCAGCCCCCTGTGGCGGTCTCGGTAGTCCAGTTCCTGAGCCAGACAGGTCCGCAGTATTCCAGGGCGTTGCTGATGACAGTACAGCCAGCCTGGCTCATCGGCAGGATCTGGAAGAGCAGACCAGTCACCAGGGCATGGATTCTTCCTACTAAAATAACCCTGCAAGTCAAAGCCCTCATGGATAGGGCGATGCTAGGTGGACAAACAGCAGGAAAGCTTGCTAGTTGGTGCTTTCAAAGCCAAGCTATGCAGTTTTACTTGGTTAGACTCCAGCAGTACCCCGACAGGCACTCTGGGATCCCCAAGCCTTGGTTCTTGCCAACCTGCACCTAATACTTTCCGGAATTAGATAAATAGGATGTATCCTTCCAGGGAGAGAGAGTGCATTCCATTGCAACAATCTAACTCTGGGTTTTCTATGTGTAAGTCGGATGCATGGAAATCTCTGTTTGGTTTGGAGACTCTTAAGCAAGGTAATGATTTCCAGCAGGCCAAAAAAAAGAACTCATCCAGTATTGCACTGGAACATAACCTCGCACACTGAGTTCAAGCAGGACTTGAACCACAAATTTCGGACCAAGATGTGAGAGTGCCACCAAACAAGCCAAGCCGACCCCTAAACTTTAATGAAAGAGCAATGCAAATAATAAATTACAATTTATATTTATGGCTTTCATGTCAGGATGGCATTTCAAAGTGCTCCACGGGGCTGACTAGAAGCCTGAGGGGGAGAGGGAAGAGAAAAGATGGACAAAAACACTGTCAAAGATATATGCCTTAAGGTTTTGAAAGCGGGAAAGGAGGGGACAAAATAAGGTACTCGAGAGATTGTGGTAGAATGGCTTAAAGCTCGCCTACCAATAGTGGGTAGATTGGATGGGGTATGAAGCAGACTGATATTTGCTGAGAGGAGGACCGTAGGGTGTCTATTATTACAGAGTGGATATAATATACTGTATTAGCATTAGGTTAGGTATTGGTAACAGAAACAAATCTTCGAAGCAGGCTAAAATCTTGCATAAAGCAAAGTCAATACCAGGGCACTATTCGAAAATGGAGTTTTGCCCATTATCATGATGAACAATCTTCCTGATGAAATGGTCATTCAGCTTAAGCTGTAGGTGGGATCTTGCTGCATGAAATTGGCTGCCACATTTGCCTACAAAAAGCAAATAACCACTACACTGATCACTAATAATTTTAAGTTTCTATGTGATAAGATGCAGTGGAGTCCTGTAGCTCAGTGGTTAGATCACTCGCCTTGCAAGTGAGAGACTTGGGTTTGATTCCCGGCAGGGCGAAATCTTGGGCAAGCTTCCTTACTCCACATGCTTGATAATAATCCTTCCAAGAAAAAAAACCCAAAAAACAAAACAGACAAAAAACAATATGAATTTGGTCACTCAATCCATGAATGTTTGTGGAATACCTCTGTGCGCAATTGGTTGCTACGTTTTCACAAATATACAGTCAATTCACTTTATAGTATATTCTGTGAAGTGCTTTGAGAAGTCTAGAAGATGTGAAAAGCGCTATATCAAATGCCTTTTTGATTAAAGCTACAGCTTGTACATTTATGAATTAGCCCAGCAGGTAATTTAGAGATCTGCCAAAAACAGTGCACATGTCCTGTATAATCAGTCTGGCACTTTAATCATAGAGAATTACTGAATGCTGCAAGAAATGTCTCAGTTTTAATTACTTTTAATGTCTAAATAGCAGCAGGGGCAAATGCAAGGATTATAATAAATGATCGCTGTATCATATTTTAGCTTTTGCTAAAAGTCTTCCAAACCCACAAAACAACAAATTCCATTTGTACAGCTCCTTTGACATTAGGAGGATATCCCAAGACACTGGATAGTTAAGGGTTTGCACCCAAGCAGCGGATTGGATTCGAGAACGGTGAGAGCCAAGGGGGTTGGGGGTGGGAAGATGACCAAAGTCACAGTCAGAGAGGTAGGTCTTGAGATGGGCCTTGAAGAGTTTCAGAGAGTGGGAGCAGAAGAGCTG